TGCTTGTTGCAATTTTACTCCACCAGTTGTAGCAATGAGGGCTGATGCAGCAATTTCTCCTTCTAGTGGTCATTTTAATCATCGGTAGCTTATGCGCCAAACTCAAGCACTTTGAAAAGCCTGATGTGTTCAACAAAAGGTTTTATTTAAAAGACAGAAGAAAGAAAATATATTAAATCTCTTTGGAAGCAAGCATTAGTATCCAGCAATGCTTTTTGAGAATAAGTACTGAATTTTAGAGCTGGCCATTTCAAATATAGTTCAGGAGATATGCTTTCGAATGTGTGGAAATATCCACACAGCACTTCTTAGATTCATTTTTTTTTTTTCAGGAATCTATGTGAACCTAGAAAAAGATGCAGCTAGCTCATTAAAGCAGCCATGTTCCCTTGTGGTGAAATGTAGTCTGGATTCCCAGGAGGGAGGGACTGCATTCCAGAGGACAAAGAGACAACAAAGTTTGGATTCTTTGGTTGGGAGAAAAAGAGTTAAAATGGCTCCACCCTAGCAATTATCAGAATATATCTTTAATGATGTAAGTAGTTGCTTTATAGTTCGGCAATATTACTGCCTACGTGTGAGGAACAATAAAGGAAACCGTTTAAAAGTAATACTGTGTGTCTTACTTGACTTCTGGAGCCTGATACATAGGCTTTGCAGAAGCTTGAATAAGAGGCAGTTGCTTTAAAAGGGGCAGTGTGCTTGCACTCTTGTGCATTTCAAAGCCTCTGTTCCAAATCCTTTTTTCTGAAGAATGTACTATAATTCAGCCATACCTGGATAGGGGAATTGGTTTATGATTAACTCTTCTCCTGTCCTTTAAAGCAGTGGGAGACTGAAGCACCTCTCTTGGACCCAGTCCTTTTAAAATGCCTGCAGGCATGTTGATAATGTAATTGAACATGATTGTGATTGGTTCACATTCTTTCTACCATCACTACAAGTTGCCCTCGAATTGTGAGCACAGCTGGGATCAGAATTTCTATTGCTAAGCAAGGTGATTGTTAAGTAAGTCATACCCAATTTTACAGTCTCTTTTGCCACAGTTATTAAGCAAAATCCACTGGAGTTGTTAGGTGAATCTGGCTTCTTCCTATTGACTCTGGTTGTCAGAAACTGTTTGGGAAGGTCACAAAAAGAGATCGTGTGACCAAGTGGTGGGATTAAAAATTTTTTATGATTGGTTCTGTGGGTGTGGCTTGGTGGGTGTGATGTGGCTTGGTGGGCGTGGCAAGGGAAGGATAGTGTAAAATCCCATTCCCTCCCCACCCCACTAACCTGCTTTCCAGCTCCATTCTCCTGTGCAGAGCAACTAAAGAAGACCCAATCAGCTGGGACTTGATGGGAGGCAGAGAATAGATGGGGGCGGGGCCAGTCAGAGGTGATATTTTTCAGTTCTCCAAACCACTCAAAATTTCCACTACCGGTTCCCCAGAACTGGTCAGAACCGGCTGAATACCACCTCTGGTGTGACCCCTGGATGCTGCAACTGTTTCAAAACACATGCTAGTTGTCAAGTGCCCAAATTTTGATCACACGATAGTCATTACTGCAAAGACCAATCACAGTGTTGTTTTCAGTGCCGTTGTAATTTCAAACATACAGTAAATGAATACGTGTAGGTTAAGGACAACCTATATCTACCAAAAAATAAAATCAATCAACCAACCATAAAATGTTGGCCATTCTTATTGGCTTGCCGTGTCCTCTGATGGTGCCCTGAGTGAATAGTAGCATCCGTAAAACTAATGGGTTACATATTAAAAGTCATCATTTTCCATTCACATGTAAGTTATTCTTTCTTGCTTTTCATTTCTTGTTTTCCATGAGATTTCAACCCAACTCGATTCTTGTCTATATGTGCTTTATCTCCCCCCACCCTCGTCTCCCATCCACTTTTTCAATTTTATTGTTTTTATTCCCTTCCATTCTTGTCAAGGCTTCACTCCTTCAAAGGCAGGATTACAGTATATCCACATTTAAAAGAGAGCACAAGTCTGAGATATAACTCAGGTCTCATATACTATAGATCCTGTGATCTATTTCTACATGGATCAACAATGCTACACCCATCTTTGTGTCATCTGAAATCCTTCCACTTCTTAAATATACTTAAGTAAAGCCCATTACATATTTGGGCTTTTTTTTTTTACTTCATAGAAGCACCTACTTTTCCATGGCAACATCTAAAATAAGAAGTGTCCTCCTCAACAATCTGATGAGCATTTTCATGATTTTGGTCTAAACTGGTGTTACATTTTTAAAGCTTTAATTCTTCAAACAAAATTCCTTTTTAGATTTACTTACCCAAATTTCCTTATTATCAGCAGATAAAAGACAGACTGGTATTTTCTCTTTGCAAAGCTTCTTTTCCTAGAAGGGTGGTCGCAACAGAGAATGGAGAATTACTGCTGAACTCCTTTTCATTTAATTTTTATCCTGCCTTTTCATTGCTTTGTATAAATAACTCTTCCTATTTTCCTCCCCAAAGTTCCCCAACCTACTTTCAGGCCTAAGGCAGAACTAATACCCACTAGCTGTCAGCCGTTTTTTGTTTCTAAGGCTGGACTAGAACTTACAATCTCCTGATGATGGGTTCAAAGTCACCCAAGCTGGCTTTTATGCCTAAGGCAGGAGTGGAACTCACAGTTTCCTGCTGATTGTCTCAAAGTCACCCAGCTGATTTTCATGCCTAAGGTGGGACTAGAATTCACATGCTGCTTGCTGGTTTTTGGGCCAGCATCTTAATTACTACACCAAACTGGTGTAATTACTACACCAAAGCCATTTGCATGGATATCTTCCTTAGCCCACAATTGCTTGGCAGATACCACTCGTACAGGGATAATACAATAAAGCAAAGAGCCATCACCAAAGACGTTTGTTAATTCCAAAATAGAGAGGCCAGTTCAAAATGAAGGCATTGGATAGCAGTGGCACCATAAATACAATTAGGAAGCTAGATACTGTATTGGCAAGAGTGGGAGGGGGGCAACATTGAAAAGAATATTTTTTATAAGTTCACCAGTATTTGGTCTGCTTGTGATCACAAATGAAAAGTCAATGTCAATCTTATCAGAGTTTAAGACAGGTAGTCTGCAAAATTTTTAGTCACATGAGTGGGAACACCAACAAGATAATTCTGGATCTGTCTCTGTAGAAGTACTCTCCAGTGGTCCTTGACTCACCACAATTGAAACCAAAATTTCTGTTGCTAAGCAAGATGGTTAAGTGAGTTACACCCACAATTATGACCTTTTTGCCACGGTTAAGGAAATCACTGTAGTTAACCAAATCATATGGCAATTGAGCAGGTCCAGCTTCCCCCATTGACTTTGCTTGTTAGAAGCTGGCTGTGAAGGTCAGCTGACTCCAGGATTCTGAAATCATTGTTGTGATTTTAAAGTTGTAGCGACGTTTCAGCAGAATCTCATCTGCCATCATCAGGCTTCTGTATAGTGTTCATCTGTGAGTCAGGCTTTTACAGTGGTTTCAGATTTGAATTTGGGGCAGCCTATTGCTGTGCCAGAATGGTTTTTTCTTCATCCTGATTGGTTGAGAGTCTTGGTCTGTGTTTATTGGTCTTGGAGTTTGCTGTGTTCTGCTTGATTGGTGTCTCTAATATCTTCTGTCTGTTTTTTGGCTTTTTGTATCTTGATTGGCTGGCAGCATTGTGTTACTTTATTGGAGGCCTTTAGTGCAGCTTGGCTCCGGGTGAATGGACAGCTATCATTAGTTAGGAAGCTGGGTTTCATCTGGGTGCCTGGTTGGGGTGTGTTTGAGCTGGAGATATCAGCGGGGATCTGTTTGTGCCCAGGTGTTTGCCTGGCTTGTGGTGTGGAGATTTTTTTGTTTGTGAGTGCAGGCTTCCAAATGATTGACAGCCTGGTGGAATCATCTCTTCTATTCATGCTTTCTGGTCTTTTTTCAATCTCTATGGCTTCTCTGATGATTCTGTGGCTGGGGTTTTCTATAGTGGCTAGGGTTTTGGTGCCATTGAAGTTGATGCTATGACCTGTGGCTTCCATGTGTTGGACTAGTGAGGAAGTGTGTTCCAGCTTTTTGACTACATTTTTGCATTCATCCAGACGGGTGCTTATTCTTCTATTGGTCTGTCCAACGTATGTGGACGGGCATGATGCACAGGGGACTTCATATATGCCTTGGTTTTCCAGGTCAATTTTATCTTTGGTGTTTCTGAGGATGGCTGCTATTTTTCTGTCTGTTTTGAAGGCAGTCTTGATGTGGTGTCTGTGTAGTATCTTACTAATTTTGTCTGTAGTGCCTCTTATGTCCATATACATATATTTCAGAGCCAGTGAATGGTTGTAAGTCAAAGACTCTAAGGCATTTAGGGAACAGCTTGTCTAAAACCTACCAGCTCCTGAATGGGCTCTCTCTTGAACTACATCTCCTAATTTTTCCACTATTGGAGAAATAGAGAGAGGCTCTTTTCTTTTCTTTTTATTAAATTTGTTTGCCACCCACCTCACCAAGGTTTATGCTGATTAAGTTTGTAAGAAAAGAGCATAATAGATTTTCCTTCTAAGCAATCTCATGACACACTAAACCATGATGTGATGTGTTCAGTTGGGCTTAGGGTGAAGTGAAAATCCAACTGGGGACAGCAAGTAGATATGGAGATTCTCAATCATCCATGTCATGATTATCCCAAAGATGCTTTTCCAAAAGGCAACTGGACTTCCTTTGTTTTTTCTTTGAAAATGTTTTCATCCAAAAAGCTTCTTCAGTTCTTTCAAGCTTCTTGGATGACAAGTGAAATGTTTGAAGAAAAAAGAAAGTCTGGTTGCCTTTTGGAAAAAGCATAAGAAGTGAAACATTTTTAAAGAAAAAAGCCCAAGAAAGTCCACTTGCCTTTTAGAAAACCACCTTTGGGACATGTTGAGAGCAAGATGTTAATTTTTTTAAAAAACCTGGATGATTCACTGTGGTGAGGTGGAGGTGACTAACCTGCTCTGTTTGTTGTATCTCATTTTTAGCGTCTGGGCTTTCCTCTTCACCATCAACTCCCACCCAGGGAACCAAGCAGCCAGCATTTCCACTTGAATGCTACAGACATGAACCGGAAAGGCTAGAAACACGGATTCACACCCCCTCTTCTCCTCCAGATACTGGCCAAAGATTTAGCCTGCCTCCAGGGCAGGGTGCTGCCAAGCCACCCTCTCCAACACCTGTCTGTTGTGTTACCTCAAAAGTAGTAAGTACAGGTTCCTAAAAAATTTTTAAAAATTGAAAGTGGCTGTAGCTTGGGACTGATATAGCACTTGTGACCGTCCAAGCATTTGTCACACTTTGTAGGCTAATGACACTTTCAATTCTCTCCATTGCTCTGGAGAGAAATATTGTCCCTAATTTGCACAAACAAGAGGGGAAACTGAGGCTGAGAATCCATATTTTGCCAGCTGATGGATGCCATAGTAGAAGTTAGATGTCAACTAAAAATTAATATTTTTGACTTCAGAGTCTTTTGAGTGAGGAACCCATTGTGTGTCCACTTGAAAACAAGCTCCACAGAAACGTCGAAACAACCATGCACATAATTTCTGTGAGGTCCTTGGCGCTCTCTGAGTTTAGTTGTTTGCTTACAGATATTTTGTTACCCAATTAGTAATGTCATCAATATTAGCGAGTGTGAGATTTGATCTGTGATAATATATCGTAGACAGGTAATGAAATGTCTGCAAACAACTAAGCTTAGAGAGCACTGAAGACTCCACAGTTCAACCCTGAGCTACATATATTCTCTTCTAGAAGTTTTCCTTACTTGACCTGGCTTCACACGCCAGAATATGGAAGACCTAGTTTTGCTACAAATTTAACACTAGCTTAGTTTTACAAAATGCTTACCCATGAGAAACTGAACTTCTGTGTGATCACTTAACATTATGATCTTACTTGGTGATCCAGCAGTCACAAATTAACCACAGATTTGGGGTTTCTACAGCCCTGTAAATTACCTGTGATTGGTTAGATTGTAATTTGATGGGTCTAGTGAATGTTGATAGTGTGAATGAATGTGTTGGTAGTCCTCAACTTACAACCACAATTGAGCCCAACAAAGTGAGACAGTTGTTAAGTGAATTTTGCTTCGTGCCTCAGTTGTTAAGTAACATAGGTTAAGGGAATCCGGCTTTTCCATTGACTTTGCCTGTCAGAAGTTCCCAAATAGTGATCACATGACCCCAGGACACTGCAATCGTCATAATACAAGTCAATTGCCAAGCGTCTGAATTTTGATCCCATTACCATGGAGATGCTGCAATGGTCATTAGTGTGAAAAAGTTGTAAGTCACTTTTTCAGTGCCATGGTAACTTCAAACAGTCACTAAATGAATTGTAAGTCAAAGTCTATCTGTATGTAAAATGATGGCACCTGAGATCCACAGCTCACTGATATTTGGAGTCTAGGCATATAACTAAGTGGGTTGACAAGGATTATATCTATAATTACATTTCAACTACAGGTAATCTTCAATTTACAATTAAGCCCAAAATTCTGTTGCTATGTAAGGCATTTGTTAGGTGAGTTGTGCCTCCTTTTATGACCTCTTCATCATAGTTAAGTGAATCATTTCAGTTGTTAGTTGAATCATGTAACTTCAGACAGTCACTAAACAACTGCTTGTAAGTCGAGGACTACCTGTGAATTGATTCCATTACAGTATTGTGTTTCATTATCAAACTAATTAACATCATTAGTGCACTGATGAAGTTATCTAGTTGGGTAATGAAACATCTACAAGAAAGCTACCAAGCTCAGAAAGCATCAAAGATTCCTCATTTTAGCCTGAGCTATAGATATTCTCCTTTATTACTACGGTTCTTTCCTTGAATGCTAGTATGATGAAACAATAGTTTATTGTTCTGTTCAACTATAAGAAAGGAAGTCAACAGATAGGCAGAAGGTAAAGATATCCACCGAATATGATAAAAAAGTCAATATGGCAATTTTGATGATGCCTGCTAATTTTTTTAAGTGCATGAAGCCTTTTTGTGTAGAGCCCATGATTTAGAAGAAGTGACTTCTTACCTGTAGAATTCCAAACCTTTTTTCTAAAGTGCTTCTGCTTTTATGATTTTAACAGTAGCTTAAATCAAATATTTAACTTCCAGCACAGATAAGTAATGGGGGAGCTTTTGTTTGCTAAAATTTACTTGCAGCTGAATAGAGTTCAAGATTCCCCCCCCCCCTGCAAAGCTACGATAAGAATTAATTGATATCAAATAGGCAGCAATTGTAAATATGAACAACCCTGTGAAAGTGGATGTCTTGACCTACCGTGTCCTCTAATTTGATGTTCAGCCCCAAAGGAAATTTGCAGTGAGAACTTCTTAGTAAGTCGAGAAGATTCAGCATTCTATTTGTTCCTTGAAAAGCAATTAGTTATTTCTAGAGGATCCATCTGAAGATAGCAAATTTAACAAAAGCTTAGTTTTGCTAAGGGGAAACTCAGCCCCTGCCCTGTAAATCTCTATTGATCCATCTTCCTCTGATTCTATAACTTGTATTTCTCCAATTGCCTGCTAGTGTGTCTCTGTTAAAGGGACAGCCAGTTTAATGCATTTCAAAATGTTTCACAGTATTTATTCAATAATTTCTCAACAGTGGCAGCTTTGAGATGTGTAGACTTAAATTCTGGGAGTTGAAGTCCACAGATCTTAAAGCTGCCTAGGTTGAGAAAACACTGGTTTATGTTACAACTTAATTCCTACAATGGGAAAAGCTTTTCTCTCCTGTAGGCTAAAGGGGCTCTTTAAGTCCAACAAGGAATAGGATTTTTAGCAGCTGTAAAATGGGCTGAGTTTCCCTTTCCCCCCTCCCTTTGGAAAACTCTCAAAATGGGTGCCGCATGGTCTTTGTTAAAAAGGAAATGTTCAACTATGGGTGTGTTATTAGACATACAGGTAAAAACTTAATCTTTGATTTATGCATATCCCCAAAACTCAAGGACTTCAACATTTATGGATTAAGCTTCCTCATTCACCAATGACTATGGTTTTTTTTTTAAAGAATACTCCAGGCTAAAACATGATTGTGTTCTTTGGGTTTATGAACTATGTGAATGTGGCGATTGCTATTACTTTTAGGTTTAGTATGTTGCTCATGTCCTTAAACCTAGGTTATCATAGTAATTACACATAAGCGTTACAAGTAGTCCTCAACATGTAACTATAATAGAATCTGTCCATTATAGCTATACCTCCTGGTTAGTCACATGAGGTTTTTTGTGGTAGTTATTAAGCAAACACTGTAGTTGTTAAGTAAATGACTTGCTATAGGAATGGTTTTGCCAAAAATAAAGTGCAGGTTTTCAGCAAAACCGTCATAGAACAAGGTCATGACTGCAGTATTTTGCATACAGCAATAAATATGGCTGTGTTACTAAGAGCCCAAAGTTTGGTCACATGACTGTGGAGGGGCCCCAACTATCATAACTTCCAGTCCTGGTCATGAGTCTCCTTTTGGGGGATTGGTCATAAATTGAGGAATATCTGTATCTAATGTTTATGTAGCTCTCATAGATCCATTAAAATTACAAAATATCAGATTGTTTCAACTCTCCTGATCTCCTTGTTGTAATAATTCCTAAGATAAGATATTCCACCCTTATGCAATATCTTTTCTATTTTAAATTAATCATGGTTTGTTCATTCAACAATTTGCTGAATTTGCCTCTTTGAATATAAACTAATTGCACCGAAACGGTTTCTTAACGTATTAGATTGAACTCTGGGGGGTTCTATGCAGGTGTGGGATTCTACCAGTTCTGTCCACCTCTGTAGAACCAGTTGCTCTGAAGAGCAGCAGACATAGAACTGGTTCTTTGTCTGCTACTGTTTTGGCCCACTCGCCTACCCAGGCTCTTACCTGACCTTTATTTCCTGCTTTTTCAACCTCAGCTGCTTTGTGCTGCACAGTTGCAGCTGAAAAAGCAGGAAAAAAGGGCTTTTCCAACCGCTGCGCACTTGCATGCAGCGCTGCTCAGCTGTCCGGGCAGCTCAGCAGGTCGTAAATTGCACTAGTGCGACTCGCGCGACACAGAGCAACAGAACCAGTAGTTATACCTGTCGAATCCCATCCCTGGTTCTATGGATCAGTTCCTTGTATGAATATTGTTGTAGTGTTTCACCTATACCTCATGTGAAATAAAACACTGGAGTTTTAAACCCTTTCTTAGAATTAAATTTCATAAATTCACTGCAATGTCCATATAGCCTGGATTTGCATGCAGTTACTGCACGTGGAATGGTCTTACATTCCTTCCTTCCCTCCACCTTTAACCAGCCTTTGGAGAATGAAGACTAACATTAAAAAAATTACGAGAGTTAATGATTCTTATTTAGCTGAGAATACAGAGGTTACATTAAAAGAATTTACCAACTGGATTATAAGCTTTTCTTGGGGGTGGGTAAATCCCTGCATACTGAATTAAACTAGATTGGCCTTATCAGGGCTGCATAAATCCAGATCACCATTAAGATGCCTGTAGTCCAGGGGTCCCCAACCCCTGGTCTATGGCACCGGCATAGCATGCCATAAACTAGTTTGCAGAAACTAGCAAAGCGAGATGCAGGGAGCACATGAAACCACACCCCTCCAATCCACAGAAAAACTTCTCTCCCCGGAACCAGTTCTGGTGCCCAAAAGGTTGGGGGCTGTTGCTGTAGACCACTAGACTATCCAATTCTTCCATGCCTTAATAAGCTTGAAAGAAAACAAGAGGTTTATAGTCTGAATGTCCCTCTCCTTTTCCCCCGATTCTTCTACAAAAATAGGTATATGTAAATATTATTTGTTCCCAAGGTCCAAAGATTTTCTTAGTTCCAAAAGTTCCAAAGTGGCTGTTATGAAAACAGTGGAGTTACCTCACACATCTGAGGGAAGGGAGGGGTCTTTTCACTGGCCTTGAGGACTGCAAACCCTGTCTGTAGCCGCAAGCACCCTGAAGAGTCCTTTTGGGGCACAGAAACTTCTGAAAAATTCTCTAACTAAACAAATGGGTGGTTTTGTTTTTAACCTGCCCTTTTAGCCAAGAGGTGGTACATTGTTCAGCCTGTTCTATTAGCCTGCTTTATATATAGCTCATCATTTTTTCTGAATTTCTGAAAATAGCAAAGGAAAAAAGTACAGTTGGTTTTTCAGCTGTGTTGTGTTCCATCCTACCCACAAAATAAACATATTTCTCTGCCTTTGCA